CCAGAGGAGAGCGTATCAAGCAGCTTGCCATCATCGATCTTGGAGATCGCTTCGTTCTACCAGCACGTAAAAGAGGCGGACAAAGAGGCAAACGAAGGCGGAAAAATTGTCATTTCGCAGCCTAGTCTGGAGACTATTTCCCCCCTTTCTTCGTCCTCCTCCTCCTCCTCGGAGCAACCTGCCTACCTCTTTCAATCTCGAGCAGTAACTGCTTCCTCCTCCTCCTTCTCCTCTCCCTTACACCCTAAATACCTTTGGCAATCTCCTTCACGACCCACGTCCACCTCCTCCTCCTCCTCCTCCTCTTCCCTTTCCTCACTCCCCTCCCCCTCATCGTTGTCTAGCAGTAGCAGTCGACCTACATTGATTGAAATAGGATCAGGCAGTAATGGTGCGAACGTCAGTGTCTCAGCGACGATCGGCAGGAACGGAATGCAGAAAAGGGAGGTGGTTAGGAGGAGCAGGCGGGAACGGCGTCGTCGGCTTTATGACGATGTCGTCATTGTAGAGAACCGCAGGTTGTTCCAAGCGGGTAGCCTCGTGGATGTTCTTGCGAATGTCGGTAATCCTCTTATGGCAACCGGTCAGCAGGAGCACGCGCGCGATCCTTCTCGATACTACAACATTCGCCACCTGGCCGTCTCTCCTGACGCCACGTCACTCTTTTACACCGAGCTTGAAGAGGCTGGCAATGCATTGCTTAATGCCGATCGAATTTGGCGTGCCAACGTTACTGATCTCCTCGCCGGCCGCTCGCTTACCGCCTCCAGCCGATGGCTCCTGAGTGGGCCTTGGCAAGTCATACCGTATAGTAACGGTGCAGAGGGGGCGGGTAGTCAGTGGCAGCAGGGTAGCAGCAGCAGCGGCGGCGGCGGTGGGGGAGGTGGGAGTGGCAGTGGTGGGTATGTGAAGACCGAGGGACTGGCAATGTCATTGGACGGCAGCCAACTGTACATCGCTGATGTTCTGTCGGGCGCGATCCGGACCATCGATTCGAAGTCGGGATCGGAGTCGGTCTTCGTAGCGCGAATCCCATCGCCACGTGGCGTGGCGGCTGATCCTCTCGCTCCGCGCTTGTTTGTCTCTTCCAATTGGTCGATTTTGACGGTGGACATAGCGAGCAGGGAGGTCTCGACGCTGACGATACTGACGAATGACAGCGCAGGCTTCGTGCTGGCCGTCGATCCGATCTTGAAGATCAGCGGAGATGCGATCTCGAGAAACGCAAGTTATATGTACGTGGCAGACTACGCGAACAACCAGGTATGGAAGGTGAATACCACGTCGGGAAAGTGGAGTCTGGTGGCGGGAAGCGGGCAAAGCGGGGGCATGGACGGGGACCCGTTCGTGGCGCGCTTCGATGAGCCCGCGAGTTTAGCGCTCAGCGCGGACGAGCGCAGCTTGTTTGTCGCGGAAGGGCGCGGGAAGAAAATGCGGCGCGTCGTGTTCGACGCGCCGGGGGGGAACGCAATTTACGTGGAGACGGTGGTGCACGTGCTTGGAGCCTTCGCGAACAACCGGGTTCTTCTGGCAATCACCATCACGAAAGCCAACGACAGATTACTCGCAGGAATGTACAACGGAAAGATCTATCAATTGGCTGTCAATCGAACGGCTCTGCTGTCGGCTCCTCCTCTTTCCTTGTCTTCCACCACCATCGCTTCTCCTCCTTCCGTCTCTCCGGCGGGAGGAGGAGGAGGAGGAGGAGAGGTGTCGGGGTCGGCGGAGACGGGCGGTGCTGGCGCGTCTACCGCCGCCGCCGCCGGCGGACTCGCGGTGGAGACCAACAACTCAGATGTGGGGTCTCGATCCGACGATAGCGGGGGCTCCACTGCCAAGTGGAATCCTGGCATTGGTGGCTGGGTGCTTGGTATTGGCCTTGGAGTCGTTAGCGTGACCCTTGCCTGCGCCCTTGTCGCGATTGGCTGTTGCCACGTCAGGAGCCGGGTGAAGAACTCACCACAGCTGTCCACCTCCTTCCTCTTCTCCTCTTCTTCTGGGAAAGGCGGCGGCGGAGGCGGCGGCGGTGGCGGCGGCGGCGGCGGCGGTGTCGCTGCAACCGCTGCTTATCAGAAAGGACTCCCCTTCTCCGCCGTCAGCGGGATTGTCGAGGGAGGATTTTTAGACAATTCCGAAATAGGAAACACCTCGAGCTCGTTTGACGCGGGGGTGTTCGAGAGCGCAACGAATTTTGGGCGCAGGATTGTAGTGCGGTTCGGCGGAGGAGCGCTCAAGGAAGCGACGGGCAATTTCGCGGCGGAGAATCGCATCGAGAGTGAAGCGGAAGAAGTCTATAGAGGCCAGCTGGAGGATGGGCGGGATGTGGCGGTCAGGATAATCAAAGGCCCACCTCTCAGCCAAGAGAAACATAGACGCTTTCTTGCGGAATTACAGGTATTGAAGAAATTGCATCATCGAAATTTGTGCTGCTTGATTGGCTATTCGATTGAGAGGGAGGGGTTCCTCGTCGTGTATCCGTATATGAGAGGAGGGAGTCTGCACGGGCGCCTGCATGGGGGGAAGGGGAGAACGGTGCAGGACGGTGGACCAAGCTCATCAGTCGCAATGGGGTCGGCGACCTGCTCGGCATCGGACGCAGAACGAGGAGGAGCAGCAAGTAGCACGAGAACGGAGGCAGGAGGAGGAGGAGGAGGAGAGAGGAGGAGAGGGGAGAGAGGGAGCGTAGGGAGTGAGCTCCACTGGTCAGTACGGATGTCGGTGGCCCTGCAGGTGGCCAGAGCTTTGCGTTACCTTCATGAAGAAGTGGACCCGCCAGTCGTGCATGGGGATGTGCGTAGTGCAAATGTGTTGCTGGACTGGTCGGATTCACGGGAAGGAGGAAGCGGAGGGGGGGGCGGGGGGTGGGGGAGGGGAGTGAGGGCCTACCTGGCGCATTTTGGAGTCGCGCAGCTTTGGGAGGTAGGAGGCGGGGTGGGGAGAAGGGGAGGGGAGGTGGAAGAGGAGGCAGCAACGGCTTCGACTGTCGCTTCGACCAGCGGTAGAGAAGCCCGCACTGCGCGCCGAGTATCGACCTCTCCGGCCAGACGCTTGTCACCCATGAGGTTCTTCAGGGGCGGAGGAGCAGGGGCAGGAGGGGCAGGAGGGGCAGGAGGGGGAGGAGGAGGAGCAAGGGCAGGAGGGAGAGGAGTAGGAGGAGGAGGAGTAGAAGTAGGAGGAGCAGGAGGAGGAGGAGGAGGAGGGAAAGCAGGGGCATTGGATATCACCGCTGCGTACTTAGCGCCTGAACTTAGGACTCCATCGCGCGCAGACAACGACCGGTCCTTTCGGAACACGTGGAAAGCAGGGGGGAGGAGGAAGACTGTGAAAAGTGACGTGTACGCTGTTGGCATTTTAATGCTAGAGCTGATCACTGGGCGGATGGCGATGATCGGGGAAGGAATCAGTGAAAGCGGACAAAAGGAAGGGGAAGGGGAGGGGGGGGGGGGGGGGGAAGGGGGGGGGGGGGAAGATGAGGAAAAGGGTATCGTGCCGGCCTGCCAGATAGGCTCGCGTGTGCACGGGAAGAAAGTGGCGGCATTTTCGAGGGAGAGGGAGAGGATGGGAGAGGCGGGTGGGGGGATCAAGGAGGTGGAGGAGGAGGAGGAGGAGGAGGAGGCGGCGATCGTGGCGGTGGACACCCACCCTGCGGCTAGAAAGGAGAAGGCCGCAGCATGCTCTTCCTCAGCGTCGGGATCGCGGTCGGCAGTAGGGTCGGGTGAAGGCGTGTCGCTTGTAACTTGGGCGGCTAGTCAGTTACGGGGCTGTTCTGATTCTGACGGGTTGATGCGAATCGTCGACTGCAGAATGCAGCTGAGTCCCAAGCAGTGGCACAGCGCGAGAGTTATGACCAACTTAGCCTTCTGGTGTTTGCAGGATGCCCCAGAGAGGAGGCCGCCCATGTGCAAGGTCGTGGAAGCGTTGATCTCCATCGCCTTCTGATCCGCAGGCAGCTATCGCTCTGGGTGCACTAGCCTGCTACGCATTCACAGTCACGGGGTTCAACCTCCTGATGAGCCTGTGACAGTTCGACGAAGCGATCTGCCACATTCATGCGTTTTTTTTGCAGTTGCCTACAGCGAACATCATAACACACACACACACACACACACACACACACACACACACACACACAGAGAGAGAGAGAGAGAGAGAGGGGGGGGGGGGGGATTGGACAGCATTCAAACGGGCGGACTGGACAGGTAGACAGACAGGCACGCAGACATAAGGATTGACAGGCAGACAGTGATTGAAAGACAGACACAGACAGAGAGTGCCCATTCGGTTTCTTGGTGTACGCAGGGGATGAGAGTGATAGACCGAGAACGATATCACGTGTTCACGTGTGTGCAACTCGTCGAAGTTCTATCTTGAACGAATCTGGCCGCAATCACGGCCGGACCTGGCTGTATCTGACCGTATTTACGTCCATAAGTAAAAAGGTCCTATACTGTGAGTATGCCCTGAAAGTGGTCTGGGGTTCCTTCGTTTTTTAATATATGGTGCTTTTCTGCTGGCTCGCTGGATCTGGCGCCCACCGGTACCGGTAGTCGGGTCTCCTGATGCTGCCGTATCTCGGCTACTGCCTACCGTCTTCACTCGAATAGAACGCCCGGTCATTATCCCTGCATTTGGGGCACCTTTCAGTCCCAGTACAGCGATAATTACGGGGCGTTCTATTCGGATGATGAGGGCTGCATTTGGGGCATCTTTCAGTCCCGGTACAGCGATAATGACGGGGCGTTCTATTCGGATGATGAGGGTAACAGACGCCGGGCCCATGTGTGTCATACGTGTCTTGCAGGTGGCTGCAAAGACGACTTGTGTACCATTCTGATGCTGACACGTGTCCGCCTCTACCAGGTGCTGGTAATCGGTCTATACATGCAAGCACGCCTTCGCTTTTCCTGATTATTGCTTAATTACTTGCGACATCCATCCAATTTGTCCTTGACTCTCTGCACGAGGTGTGCATGAGGTGTGGTGGCGGACGAAGGATTCGAACCGTCGACATGCTAATCTTCTCTCTCTGTGTATCGTTCCAACTTTAACGGATGTCCCGACAGATACAACTTCTCGAAAGCAGATTCTGCTTATGTCTAGATTCATAATGATTCCCTCCCTCACCATTGCCCTGATCTCGTACATTCCCAGGATTGCCGATTTGTAACCCACGAGTTCAAACCACGTCACAATTCAACAATGATTCCAAGGATGTCCCTCTTCTCTGTATGTGTGTGTGTTCGTGTGTGTGTTGTGTGTGTGTGTGTGTGTGTGTGTGTGTGTGAGAGAGAGAGAGAGAGAGAGAGAGAGAGAGAGAGAGAGAGAGAGAGAGAGAGAGAGANGTGTGTGTGTGTGTGTGTGTGTGTGTGAGAGAGAGAGAGAGAGAGAGAGAGAGAGAGAGAGAGAGAGAGAGAGAGAGAGAGAGAGAGAGAAAGATGTGTGTGTGTGTGTGTGTGTGTAGTTATATATGTTAGAAAATAGAGGATTGTCATGATGCCCATGACGGTTAGGAAATGCTTGGTTTATGTATGCATTCGGCCTTTTCTAGTGTTCCCTGGGGAGAATGGGAAAATGGGAGAGGGAGGGGATGACCCATGTGTGCAGTCAAAATCTCACCCGCCCACGGTGTGGTGGTTTGTTAACATTCTCTGCGTCTTAGAGCATTCTCTTTCTAGGACTATTTCGACTGAATTCTACCATGATAACGGTCACATTCATCCATGCAAGATGGTTTAATTGTGAGTATGCCCGCTCAGCTCGTGGAGTTGCGAGCTCTTCGTTCAGCATTTGGCTGAATTTTGGACGTACAGGTGTCTCATTGGGATCTTACTGTGATTTTGCTGACAGCCATTCAGCCCGCCACAAATACCGTGATCAGGCCTATTTGGGGGGGGGAAGGGGGGGGGGAGGAGGAGGGGGTGGCCGCACTGTAGCTGAATCTGTGGCCCAATGGGCTCGGCACAGGAGCTATAGCTACTACGGCAGCGAAGCTGCATCTGTCAAAATGCTGGCTTTTGCCCAGCAGATGTGGCACCGAAGCCGAATGGTACACCCGTGTAAATGTCAATAAAGAGATGCGAGTTCGAATTCGGGCGTAATCAACTGAATACGGCGTAATCAGCTCAATACGCTGGTGATATGTGGCCCCTCCCTCGCCTCTGACTTTGCCCTTTTTTTTTTTTTTTTTTTTTTTTCCTCATCGTCTCCTCCTTTCTTCTCGTCTCGACCGGTGTCAAGTTCCCATTTTTTTTCTTTTGCCAACCTCTTGCCCGAGTATTGGCTCATCCTTTATGCAGACCTCTCCTGCTGTCGTCTTTCTTTGCGTCTGACGGAGGGATGCTGCAGACCTCTCCTGCTGGCGTCTTTCTTTGCGTCTGACGGAGGGATGCTGCACCTTCTCCCATGAACCTCCTGCTGATGCCGATGAGGCGGGGCACGTCTTGGCGTGCTGTGCTTGTGTAGCCGTCGCTTTGCTGCTGTCGGGCTCTTGCGAGCGACCGAGTGTACTGTGTGCGTGCACATACACAGGGGGAGAGAGAGAGAGAGAGAGAGAGAGAGAGAGAGAGAGAGAGAGAGAGAGAGAGAGAGAGAGAGAGAGAGAGAGAGAGAGAGAGAGA